GGCATGTCACCAAATTTAAGAAAGGTTGTTGGGCACAATAACGAGTTTCTGAATTATCGGTTCTGCTTTTTGGAGTTTTTTATTTTTATTTTTTATAGTTAATACACTGAGAAGCAAAAAGGAGTTCCCTGATATTATTATTTTCTAATTATCCTCGTATAATTATTTTTTAGCAACTACTTGCAATCGTTATAATTTTTTGTTGTTGTTTGCTTTATTTAAAAGAAACCAGATATAGCAAAATAAAAAATTTAACTGAGTAAAACAGATTATTTCCTCCTCTTGCGTTGATAACCGCTTGCATTCGATGTGGCATCAATTTTATGAAATTATGAGAGTAGTCTTGAAAGTAGTGCTGTGGGATATTTCCCTATTCCTCTAACAGCGCCATTCTTAATTCTAGCAAATTCTCTGGCATCATAGGGCAACTTAATACCTTCTTTGACAACTCGTCCTAAAGGTGTTCGATGGGTTTAAGTTGGGACATCATGCTGGCCAATTAAAAAAAAAAAGAAAAAAAAGCCCGTTCCAAGTAGTCCCCAACGATCTGTGGGGTCTTGGATTGTCAAAATATAAACGTCGCCAATTTGTGGCATATAAGGAACAACTTCTTCCGATAACTTCTTCAATGTATCGCGCTGCTGTGAGCGAACCTTCCATAGAAATATCTGCCCAAACCATAATACCACCACCTCCTTGGCTTGGCTATTTCTGAATGAAAATGTTGCTGGGTTATATCACTCTCCTCTTCTTCTCCAAACCCTCTCACTGCCGTCAGAAGACCTCAAACAAACCCTTGACCCCATCCGAAATTTTAGTCTAACCTTGCTCAGACTAATTGGTGAGATTTGTTGCGAAACTTAACCAAGACGTTCTGACCCTTGTCCGAAATTTTGGACCAGTGGCAGGCCTTCTACAACGTAATCCACGTATTTGACTATTTAAAGAGTTATTTAAAAAAATCCAATTGTAAAAATAAGTGGAAGAATTTAATCTGTGTTTTATTTGCCTCTAGTCATTTAAAACGGACCAAATAATGTTGTAAGATAATCAAGGGAGGATTGTCTAAGAGATAATTAATAATATTAGGGAGGCCACGTTTTCCCTCTTAGTGTAGATATGTTTTATGAGTTTTGTTTGAGGGCTTATATTTATTAGTGTGAGTGGTGAGGGTGTGATGGTGTACTCCAGCAGTGTGTTTGTTTGTTTGTGTGTGTGTGTGTGTGTGTGTGTGTGTGTGTGTGTACGTGTGTGTGTGTGTGTGTGTGTGTGTGTGCGCGCGCGTGTGTGTGTGTGTGTGTGTGTGCGTGTAGCGTCGAAGATGGAATATTTTTACAAAAGTACCTCATTGACCCTAATTTAAATTATATTATTAAAATTGCGTGTAGATCAATGTAGGAATATCGTGTACTCCACAGACTAATCAGAATGAGTACAATGTATAGGTAGCATTATTATTGAAATGGCCTAGCTGTCGAAAGCCCCTGCTGGAGCCTAATCCCGTTGGTTGATAAGGGACGATCTCTTGGGCATCTGGCTTCAGGGCGATACTTGCGATCCAGCAGGATAACGCGTTAGGTGAACCCTGAGGTATTGACTCTTCGTCACCCCATCGGGGCGTGACAACCCTTCGAAGTGAAAGTCCCATAAGAGTCTTTAAAAATACATCTTCCTTAGTGATGCGTCAACATCCTAAATAAAAATATGACGTAGTCTGTGAATAGGTGATTTCAATCTATGATTATTATTACGTTTTATAACACTTTGATTCAAATCAAGTTTTTCGCAAATGTTTGGGTTACAATTTTTTTTTATTCTATGAATTGTGCAAATAAAGGGTCGTTTATTAATGGGCTCTAATTAATTATTTCCATTTATTGAACTAGCCAAAATTCTCACTACACCGGGTTCGTATCATCTTTGGTTATTGTTGTCTTGTTAAAAGTTATTGTTGTGATTAAGTACCTTGCTGGTAAGATGTTCGATAGTTTTAGGTTTTTTATTTTAAAGTGAGATGCAATGCAATGCTTTATAAAAAAAGGGCATATCGTTTAGATAACGGCAACCAAAGATTATATTTACTCCGGTAATTAGTTTTTCACGACTTGCTACATCGTGAAATTTAAAGAGGGTCGAAATAAAAAAATGTTTTGTGTAACACACTATGCAATCCGTTCCGCGTTAATGTTTTTTCGACTAGCCGTCAAACGTGACATCATGGCCATGGGAACTATCCCATTCCACCGCCCAAGAGCGCACAACTTTTGAAACGTGACACCACTTCGGCTTAATATTCATCCCCTCGACGTTCCGCCTCATGAAAGAGGGTGCGGTGTCAAGTCTATCGCCGAGAGAATTGATAAATTAGGTAGAAAGCCTTGCCTTGGCGAACGTCCGGTGAAAAAAAGGTTTCCAAGGAAAAATGTGTACCGCGGTACGAAAAAATAAGACTGTGCGGTTTCCTTTTCGCCCTGACTACCATCAGGATTGCAGTTTCGGAACCTGAGCGAACGCTTCTGTTAAAGATTGGGCAGGGTTAAAAAGGATTAGCCTTGAAAGTAAACATTTATCAATAAATTAATTGCTAACATAGTGATTGTAAGATGAAATGAACGCTTAACATTTTTGTACTTTCTAATTGCAAACGTAAATCGATATGGGGTAAAAGACATCCACCTCAAACTTTTGTGACGGAGCCCAAAAAGTTGTATCTCATTATAAAGCTTTTTTGTGTGAATTGGTTAAAAGGAAAATGTTCACTTTTTATTTTAGATTGTTATTTTTTCATGGAATGTTCGAAAAAATAATCGGTTGGGGAAATAATGTAGGATCAGGCCCGGAGGACCACTTGTTAGAGGTGGGAGAGGGGCTATCAGTAACAGAAAGCAAATCTCCTTTCACGTGTAGGTGGGATAAATACAATTATAAAGTTCTTTTATTTAAAAGAATTTATTTATTGGAAGTTTGACGACTAATCCGTCTTATTTAAATTTGTTGGTTAATGTTAGAAACCATTTCTAGGTTGTGATTTTTCAAAAAAAACCATATGGAAATGGTCGAGAATTTACACCCATCATCAGTATCTAAATTGCCCACCAAAAAAAGCCGACAACATGGTTTGTTCACGAAAAAATGGCCAATTTTGGAAATGAATATTTTCTCAGCTTTTTAAGTCACAGACCAGCGCTAGATATTCATTTTTTAGAAAATTGTACGCTGAAAAAGGTGGCTTTTTTAAATGTTTTCCTAGCTTCAGTTATTCATCAGTAAATTCAAAAATTTGGTACGTGTCAATTTTAGCACTTTTTACAAAAACTTCAAAATCAGCTGAGGAGCCAGGAAATCATCCTGGAGCGACGCTTTTTAACAATCGATAGGAAATTTTAATAAGATTTCAATTGGTCACCTTCCACTTTGCCCGATTCCTCAACCGTTTTCGAGTTAATCGCGATTTTTGGGATAAAACGTGGTTTTTTAAGTGCTAATGAAAAACAGATCTCTCTCTCTCTCTCGATTTTCATGCATAAATTTTGAACTGTCCTGTTTTTGCAAATTTTACGCTCTACAACTTTTGTTCGAAGGACTTTTTAAAAAAGTGACCAGGGAAGCGACAATTCTCACTTTTTCATACTTTTTTGGGATGCGGAACGCTTCTGCTGTCCATAACCACTTCAATTAAATACAACTATTCCTTCCCATTTCACAGGTGTTATGTAGCAGTTTGGCTTAGAATAACGTATTGAAACAATGGGTTTACGTACGGTAATATCGGGAGAAAGAGAGAGTGATCAGGTTTTTCCATGAGCACGTAAGAAACCACGTTTTTTGCCCAAAAATCGCGATTAACTGGATAACGGTTGAGAAATCGGCCAAAGTGGAAGGAGACCAATTGTAATCTTATTAAAATTTCCAATCGATTGCTACTTCCTGGCTCCGCAGCTCAGTCTGAAGTTTTCGTTAAAAGTACAAAAATTAACATTTTCCCGAATGAACTTACTGATGAATGAGTAAAGCTAGGAAAAAGACAATATTTTTCAGCGTAAAATTTTCTAAAAAAAGAGACCTGACGGAAGTTTGTGACTTTAAAGGTTGAGAAAGTATGCATTGACAAATTTGGCCATTTTTCGTGCAAAAACCCGCACCAACCAACAACAAACCAGGCCATTTTTTGATAGGTAGCGTATTTTTTTTAATATAAAAAGACCTAAGTATAACATTGATATTGATATTTTACATGTATTTTTTAACTAGTTTTAAAAAATTATTGATTATTTTTATATATTTTTTAAAAATAATATGGGATATTTGGTTTAGTCAGTTTTTTCACTAGTTTTTGTAATGTACACACATTCTATTGTCTTTTATTTTATTTTTTTAATTGGGTGTGTGTTTTGAGCAATTTTTATGTTGGAAAGAGCTGTTTTTCTACCATTGCTATGGTATTTTCTTTAACCGGTTACCCGTATTTTTGTTTGACCGATATATATTTTATCCAATTCATCACAATTAATTGAGTCAATTGCATTATTTTTTATTTACTTTCTAGTATCTTTTATTGGGGTGTATAAACTAAGTTGTAATAATTATACCTTACTGTTTACAGCATTTATTACTTTTTTTAGTATTACTTATCATAAGGTTATAGACAAATTGAAGTTGATTCGTCATCCCCACAATTAGATAGCTGGATAATAATTTTGATTTGTAAGTATAAATTATATTACACCATCCTTTCAATTATGTCGTTAAGGAATGTCGTTTGCGATTCTGTTATTTTTACGTCAGTGGACGCAGCGTAGAGATTACATCAGGCGGTCGTGACTGGGCTACACGCAAACAAATAATTAATTCTTTACCGGATTTCGTATACATATGTTTAATTATTTTTGCAATGTATGATTGAGTGCTCTTATGCCATGTAAAACAGCAGATGTTCAATTAAAAGAATTTAAGGACAGAGAATATGTTATCAATTCATCACCTAATCAACGGTACACTTATACAATTAAATTTTCAGTTTATTCAATATAATCGTAAAACAATCAATAAAATTAGAAGAATATCGCAATTAAGGATTATGTGAGATTATTTTTAAACAGTTTAGGTTGGCAGGTGTAGAAATATTTCTGTTTTCACCTTCAGGATAAAATCATTTCATTTTCATTCTATGGAAGTCTTTGTACTTTTCTTTTTTCTAGATATTTTTTAAAAATCATTTATACAAGCAATGAACAGATGTCGAATGAAAACTTATGGTTGATGGTTGTTCAGTTGAAACAGGTGTTTATTGTTTCTTTAATCTCCTGTGTTTTTCCGGCTTCAGCCGTTGTTGACGGATGTCGAGGACGGGGTGAAAATCTCAGTCTGGTTGTAGACGGTCTGTCCGTTGATCTCCACCAAGTCCGAGATGGCTTGGGCATTGTTCTGAAGCCCCTGGAACATAGGTTGAAACACCTGGAGACCGGTTAACTGAGGCGAAATATTGACCAGATCCAGGGGAGAGAGACAGGAAGTACCATTCTGCGCGTCCGGGAGGCAGACGACAGCTGGATAGTTGCAGCAGTTTACGCTGTCCGCATTCGATGTTCCAGCACACTGGAAATGTGTAATGAAATTTAGAAAACAAAATAAAACCTTGTTGAAACGACGAAAATAAACCACTTGTTGGTGAATATATAGACAAAATGAAAAGGTTTGACGGAATCGATCGATTGTACTATCAATGTTTGCATGGTTTTAAAATGAGCCATGTATAATTTGAAGCATTGTTCAATTAAATTGCGTTTATCGATGTGCGTTTTCGGGTTTTGGAAGTGCGTGATTTATCGGAAATACACCTCCTGCATTTGCGACAAAGAATTCCCACGAGACGTGAGTTTCCGGCCCATTGAATACTGTAGAACCGAGCGATTCTCAGCTTTTGGCACGGTTCTCACATCGAGCATGGCATGATCAGTATTTCTACATCATACGTGAAATTGCAAAATCATAACAACACACGTCCAAAAACCTGTCCTAATTAATACATCACTTTTGGGGCGTGTTGTGTGAATCTATATACATTTCCTTACATGTACTACTGTTTTTCATTTCTTTGGGTTTTTCATACGACATTGTAAAATAATTACACCTAAACACTGCCTAATGTTTTTCCAATTTCCACTAACTGCTTCCTTTTTTAAAGAGACATTAAGTTTATATAAACTTATATACTTATATACTTTATATTAATTTTAATATAAATATTTGAGGCAGCATGTTAGGATTCTCCAAGCAAACAAGGCGTAACAACGAATCTTTTTTTAAATATGACCCAATTAACAAGTACTCAATAATCACTGCGTTTAAGCGATGAAAGATAGCAAATAAACGAGGGATAAACGTGCTAATCATAAAAGAGTTGACTATTTCCGGTTCTAATTTCAGTCAATTATTTAGCCCTTTTTGTTTCACTGATCTGAAGTCTTTTAAATTCAATAATCAGTTGAAGGTTGTTTGGTCAAGTGGACGCCCTTTAAAATATAATTAATTACAGGAGTTCAGTATTGTCAATAAGAAGTTGAAAGTGTTTAATTTAAATTGAATTATCTCTTAGCAAATGGCTTCGGCCGGCCGAGAGGCGGCCTGAGGGATCCCCGCGTTTAATTCATTGCAAATAAATTCCCAAAACAGGAAAGTTGAACTTCGTTTTCTTAATTAAATTCCTACAGGGTTTCAATTTCGAGCAGGCGAGATTTTGACGAACAAAGTTTACATAGGCTAATAGCAAATTAATGATGACGTCGCTCTATAGTATCAGTCGGAAAATATATCTGATTGACCTAGTCAAAAAATATTTAAATTTTTAGTTATTAAACAGTTTTAAATTACTGCTTGAACATTCTACTCGAAAGAGATTTCATTGTCGGTACGACGTGGATAACAAGCATATTTAATATATTTAATTATTAAGATAAAATGAAGAAAATTCCTCTTACACGGATTGTGCAGCAGTTTAATCGTATTCTCCAATTCTGTTTGTCGTTGCCAGGTTTGGCTAAGGGTTATTTGATGAGGGATTTAATTGCAAAATAACCGCAAAAGCTTGTTTTGTTACGAAATGGAACAGTTTCTTCTTTATTTCGCCGTCCCAAGTTAATTTGAAAATTAATAACATTTTGTGCATTTATTCAAACAGGCGATTTGATCGAATTTTTCTCGATTGACATTGTGTGGCTGTAATTTAATACACATCGTATTATTTAAAACCATCAAAGCTGAAAGTAATTACAATTAAAAGAACGTCACGTTTTTATAAATTTATGATATTAAATTTTGTCCGGCTTTCGGAATGACACTAATGAGTTGCATCTGAACCTTGCACGAGACTGTTCTTTTGAGTAAACGTTGTAGAAACAAAGTTAAGTCTCGGCCAGTTGTTAACTAAAACATGTCATAATCTAATTTCGTTTAGGAATACTTTACGAACACAATATAAGTCCAATAATGATATACATTTATACTTATTACTGTTTGTAATTAATGCACAGCCCTAAGGAAGCCATGATAAATGCAGAAAGTTTGACAGTAGTGCCATAATTATCAATCTTGGACCATCAACCCTAAAAACCCTTCTAAAACATCGATATTGATTCGGGTATGCAAAAGGTGCAAATCAGACGGTGTCTGGTCCAGTGGTGGATCCAGGGTGGATATGGTAGACGTCTCTCTGATAGACCGTTTTAGGTCGTGTTTCCTTTCACTTTTGCAGTTCGCGATTTGTGCATTTTTTATTATAGTTTCGAAGGAGTAAAACACTACTACCTTACGATCCTAAAATCTATGATCGTTACTCCAGAATGAAGAATTGCTTGGATAAAAAATGAAGCAAGGCGAAACAAAAATAATGTATTAACTGTACGAGGGGTTTTAAAACACAATACCGTGGTGACAAAATGGCAAAAACATTCGCAATAGACCCTAGTTTTCTTCAATGCAACTCAAGTACACTGAACCTTAATTGTGTTAGTTTGAAGGTTGTTTCACAAAAAATGTCCGATTTTATTTCAGAGATTCAGAGAGAAAATAACGATTTACTGTTGTTTACATATTATAATTAGTACTTATTAATCATCCAATTTTGTTTATAATGATGAGCTCGCCAATCCATTACACACTGAACTGGATACAAACGATTTTCGTGTAATATTCCTTTACGAGTTTAAAGTCGGACAATCAGCAGCTGAGACTCATCCTACTCATACATCAGTAAGTCGTTTGAGGAAGGGAGTGTTCGCAACCATTCCCCGATGGTTTGCTAAGTTTTCGGAAGGGAATGCCGAATTGGAAAACGAGCCCCGCGGAAGACCTCCAACTTTAATTGAAAGTGATGCCCTTGAACTTCAGGTAGAAGAAAACGCTATCCTACAGTCAAAGGACTCGCAGCTCAACTAAATGCAAGTGCAGCTACCGTGTCAAGGCAATTGAAGAACATGGGAAAAATCAAAAAGCTCGATCCTCATGAGCTCTCTGAGCGACATCAGTTAAAGCGCCTTGAGACATGCGTTTCGTTGCTCGCCAGGCAAAAAACCGATCCTTTTCTTGAAAGTATAATCACTTGCGATGAAAAATGGATTGCATATGACAATCAGCGTTGGTCAGGGCAGTGGTTAAACAGTGACTAAAGGCCAATGCCAAAACCAAATTTACACTCAAAGAAATTGATGGTGACCGGATGGTGGTCCATGCCCAGAATTATTCACTACGCCTTTTTGTGTAGAGGTGAGACTAGTCTAGAGTGTCTAAGACTCTACATTGGAAGGAAATTGACAAAATGCATAAAAAAATTACTCAAAAAAACAACAACACCTGCATTGGTAAATCGGAAAGGTACTCCTCCACGATAACTCCAGGCCTCATGTTTTATAACATATTGAAAGAGCTCGCCTTGGAAGTTCTTCCGCATCCACCTTATTCTCCAGACTTGTCTCCAAAAGACTTTTACCTGGTTAGGAATTTAGACAACTTCGTCAAAGGAAAATTTTTTGAAAATGAAAGTCCAAAAAGCGTTTACAGATTATGTATCTTTTCAAAGTTCAGAATTCTTCAGTTCCGGCATAAAAAAAGTTGGGCACGCGTTGGGAAAAATGTGTAGAAAATGAAGGTAAATACTTCGAACCACAAAAATTGGTTTACTAAAACACATTTACCTTGGAAACGGACGTTTCATGTGAAACAACCCAATACATTTCATAAAAATTTTGTGAATTTATTATGACAGTTACATATGACGAGTTTTTAATAACATAAAATCACTCACAGGATTGTAGTACTGAACACAGTTGGTCGAGTTGTTCAACTGGGCTTGTACGGTTGCCGCGAGAACCGTGAAGAGCACGATTTTCAACATATCGTTTGTTTATTTAGTTTTAAAAGCCTCTCTTTGCCCCACTTTTAAATAGAGGGATTTCCGTGTCTACGCGACGATAAACGTCAATGCCTCGTCCTTGAGATAACGTCCCATAAAGCGCAGTAGAAAGCAACCGATTTCAGACTCAATCCGACTAGATAATCGCCAAATTGTTTACTAACAAATGCAAATCGCCGGATAACCGGCGGTACGATTTAAGTGGGGTTGAAACATGTTAGTTCTTTCAAACATCGGCCTTGCCTTCTACGATAGAGAAAAGTGGCCGTCTAGGTTGAAGGATTCCACGTGGAATAAGAAAGAGAACAAAGATTGAGGCTATTTATTCGAGACAGGACGAACTCGATGTTATGTGCTCGGATCAAAGTTAGAAAGGACTCCGAAACAGGATTATATGGAAACAAAAAACAAGTACAGAAGAAATGAGAAGAAAGCCCCATAACAAAAGTCGCCGTCCATCCTGCGGAACGGAAAAATAAAACGAGGGCGAGATTTTCCCGGAGGTCCTGCGCTATCGCTGTTGCTGTCCTTCGTGGCCGGAGGCGGTAAAAGTAAAAAACTGGCTAATGTCGAGCATCCGTCACGCAGTGTTAGGACGATAAACCACGTGGGGGGCCACGTGGACCCTGGAGATAAGAGGATGCTCTGAGAGATTTACCGTCATTCCGGTGAATTCCCTCAAACATCTCCCGAGAGCAGCCCTCTTTTTCCACCTTTTTAATTCAATAACGGCCTACCTTCAAATTAATTTCCATCCAAAAGGGCTACACCTATTACTCAGAGCGATGTTTATTGTATTTTCAATTTCATAATAGAAAAAAAGAAGCTTATTTATCCAACACCTGTACCAAGCCTACTTTTCTTCATCGGATGTATAATTTCATGCAAATCGATCCTTTCAAAGAATATACCAGCCAAATTGCAATCGGTCTGTTCATATACCGCAAACATTGCTGTTAGACATTTAATAAAAAATCAAATACAATACGCCATGGATTATTCCTATCAAAGCACATCTTTAGCTTTGGCGTTTTATACAAAGATGAATCTTTTGTAAATGTCAATGATATTCTATGAGATTTATTTGCTGCTTTAATTTTTCTTTTAAAATCTATACATAAAACAATATACCGCTAAAAGCGAATGAAGATTCATTGAAAAATAATTGTCGATATTGCGATTCTATTATTTAATTCTAATTCTACATCACTTTAAATGTCCATAACTTACATAAATATAACTTCACCTCTTTATTTTATGTAAACTACCAAATGTTAGTGCAAAGAAAAAGAAATAAGCTTCTTTTTTCATCGTCTCTCTTTTCGATTTTATAAAGTTTGCAAAATTGTGGAAACCGGAAAGTATTTCATGGATCAGAATGAATTCTTTAAAGTCTTGTAACAATTCCTTATTGGTTCCTCGTTTAATCTTTAACTATTTAATTTTATGTGTACTGTTTAGCGACCGTTTTCAATAATTTGTTGGAGTAGTGAGGAGCGGTCAGGAATGAAGTATCAAAGTATTTTAGAGACCACATTTTCCATTTTTTGCCGTCGTTTCGACGTTTATTCGGATCATCTTTTGGGTCTGGGTAAATTACAAACATATGTTGATTGGAAAAAACAATTATAATGTTATCTGTCTCTATTATACTCGTCAATATGCTGCCTCGATTTCCGGAATCGATGATGCATTCGATCGTAGTTATAAGACATACTCGCCGGTTAAGTTAAAATCAATGTTGTCGCCAATGATATCATCAGGTCGCTTCAATATCGCTAGTTTGCCCAATGTGTCCTAAACGGCTCACAGCCCTGGGCAAATCCGGGCTTTGGCAAATAGGATGCGAAACGTTTGCAATTGAGACCGTGCTATTTACATGCTGCAGATCCCGAAGTATTAATGCAGCCAGCCCGTTCCCACGATCTATATGGAAATCAAAGTTTCCCAATTAAATTTTCTTCCGGTAACTGCTGGCTTTTCTCCTTGCAAACTGATTCTGGTCGACAGTTTCGTTCTTTTGAATAATATAGACCTGATAGTTTATTTTCATCGATCAAACTTGGAAACCTCCTCACGAGTTGCCTTGGCGACAAACGGTGAGTTTTATCACTCGAGTCCACTCAATTTTGCTCAACTTTCCACCTGCCGTTTTCGGATTAAACCCGTCCTGGTCATTTGATTTGGATGCAATTTATGCCGACGATTGGATGAAAAAAAAGTAGTCCCGCCTTAACATTAAAACCTGTTATAATGTACGATAGTTTTATAAAAAACAAACCTTTTAATCATTAAATATTTTAAACTTTTAAATAGGCGTTTGAGGTAAAAGACCATATAAAAAATTTTGTTAAATAAGCTACTCGGTGTAATAATAATTTTAATTGGCGACGAATCTGAGGAAATTGGCAGATGGTGAGAAAAGTGAAATCCGAACTGAGTTAATTTGTGTACAGTTAAGTGGGATTCTTGTGGTCGGGCGTTGTCATGGAGAAAGATCGGTGCTCGACAGCGGCCTGGACTTGTTTTCCTCACATTTTGGTAAAACCGTGCTTTGTTGTTGTATTTGCATATTTATTATCGCAAGAGATAAGAAATTTTGTTTCTTTTGTGTTTGTAAAGACCGATGTGAAAACTTTTTAACTTTTGTCGTTCGTTTTCGATAAACTAACGAACCTGGCAACAGTGGTTTAACGCAGACGGTTTTGTTTCATCGGTAATCGGTTCGGCTTAAGAGCATTATTCTCTTCACCATTGTAATCGTTGTAAAACATCTCACGGTTATAACACAACTGAATCAGTCTATAAAAATTTTTACATATTGTAAAAACGGATATATTAAATTTTAATATGACCATTTTATTGATATTTTCAGCAAAATAAATAGTATATTTTACCATGTGCTCATAAAAGATTTGTAACAGAAGCAATAATTCTTTTAGACGGGTGTCAAGCCTTGCAACCCTTTCTTTAAGCAAGTTGATAAACAACTTCCATGACGATACAAATGAACTTTTGACGCCAGGTTTTCTTAACTCTTTGGAATTTTTGCAGGGAATTTGTACTTTAAATTCATTACCAAATGCTTTTAAACAACGATTAATATATGACATAACAGTCAAATAACAACAGGCACCGCGCTGACCAAGTGGTTAGGGGGTCCGAATCTTATTTACCCACGTTAGCAATTCTGGGATCGAATCCCTACACAGCTCATGGCTTTTTAATTGAAAATACTATCAAAAAAATGTAAAGGTGTTCGACACATCGTCCGACTACATGTTAGACGTTAAGCCCCCTGTAAGACCAGAATTACTGCTAAGTAATAACGACGGTTGCAAGCGGTCGGAGTGAAGAGATAAGGTACATGTACAGTCACAATTATAGAAAACATAAACCACCCATGAATCTGGTGCTTTTATACTTAAAAATTTTATATTCAGTCCAAGTATGACATTGTAAAATTTATAGAAGTTTTGTTATTATAAACTATTTGTTCAAGTATTACATTTATTCTAAAGAGAGTTTATTAGAATATAATATAATAGAATTTGTTTATTCTTCTTCATCTTTTTGAAAAACAATACATAAATAAGTAATTGAAAACAAAATAAATTGGATTGACTTTAACAGATATGTAATTATTACTTCTGCTTAGTTACTATAGCAACAGTAATATTCATTCAGGTAACGCAAAGGCTCTCAACCTTAAAACCTCGGAAAAATAGAAATAAATCATTTGCTTTTTGCTCGTTTACCATATTTTCTACACTTGAATAACTGTACGTATTTACAAATGAAATGGTTTCTTAGAAGGTTGTTGGAGATACGTTCCTAAATACTCGGTCGTCCTTAAAAGGACAATAAGGATCTTTAGCGTCCGTACCTAACACGTGGCCTTACCGGATGTATATTGGACAATTAAAATAATATGGTGCAACGTTTCTTTAACATGCATGTTACAAACTGAACAAATGTCATTTGTATTGATTTTATAATAACTGCCATTGTAGAATATTTTTTATCTTTCATAATTAGCTAGTCTTAACTGAACTAATAACCTTATTTTCTTAATGGCTAAACTAAATAACAAATATTGTTCAGCAGAAGTTAAACTACGCCTCATTCTGAACCCAGTGTTATATCGCGAGTAGAGGCATTTATCAATGGCTTTTCAGTATATATTGTTCTTCCACCTCTCAACCGTATCTTTTTTCTTACTTAAAAGGCTCGTATAGTAGGAGATGGATTTACACCATAACGAGCTAAGGCACATATTCATAATTGTCAAACCAATACCATTGATGTACCGACAGGTTTTGTGTTTTTCAGGAAATATTGAAATGAAGAGAATTTATTATAAAATATGAAAAGGGCTTATAAACGCTTATAAATGTCCTGTATTAATAGCCAAAATCTCTATAAAAATATATTACATATGTATTGTTATGTTATTATATCAAAAGATTTATGCATACTTGGTTTTAATAACGTTTCAAGTGAGTTGTTGATTTTTGATGATTTGATGTTCTTGTTCATTGGAAGAACGTTACTATGTCAAACCCCCCCCCCTAAAATTCAAATTTACGCTTGTGATAAGGTTGCATAAATTATAAGTTTACATGGTATTTTCACTACGTTGAACTTAAATATTGATGAATCAGTTTCGGTAGAAAATCCTGAGACCGTTATAGCCAGTCTAAGTAAAAAAATTATAGCTGGTATATATAACATAGTAAATTTGCATTCTGATTATTTTTAAAATAATTAATGATAGTTTTTAAGAATTTACAATGGTTTCCATATTTCGCAGCGTCGATTCAAAAGCATCAAAACCTTATGGCTGCCGAGCAAAAATAAGTGTTTACAACTTGCAAAATGTGTTTTATCAAATAAGATTTGTTCCTGAAACATCTTAAAACCAAAAGAATAATAGTAATTAAACAGTCTAAGCTCACTGTCTGTTGACTGTTTATCGGAATGCGATAGTTCGCATTATGCCCCGACAACCTGGCCACCGATTTCAATTTCAATGAC